GGGGAACTAATTACCTGATAACGTTTTCAACATTCTTCCACCTGTTCACATCAGATCACCTGGTTATTTACTTATTACTTACACTGTCTTGTTCTATGATTTCTAGATTGTCATTGATATGTGACTACTATCATTGTTTACTATTTTTTATGAAAAAATATTTTAATCTCTTCGAATTTTCTCGGAATTACATTCCTTCGAGAACAGGAAGTCTCAGGAATATTACGTTTAGGAAAAAAAATTAACACACGTATATACGACCTCAATGGGTCTTTGGTTCCGGAAGGGAAATGCATCTATGATGTGATGATCTCCGAACTAATAAATAGATTTCTTTCATAATTTTATTAAAATTTTTTCAGATGACCTTCATATTGATCTCAGTAGCAGTAGCTACTCTAATTGTCATTATTTACGCTATTTATTATGCTCTGCGGCCTTGCAATCGTATTCGAAAACTTGGCGATCTGGGACTTCTTCTCGGTGATCCTGAGGTATGTTCTCGTTGAAGACCTCGTAATTAAGATTTTAATTTGAGTAATCTTTGATGAATCGCAATGATCTGTTTGATGTTGTATTTATTTTATCATTATTGATTATCATCTGCTATCTACTGGCTGATTCTTCAGTTATTTGGCTATCATTAATCAAAATCATTCCTACATTTATTTCCGCGTGGAATTTTGATTTCTATATCCTTTTGTAATATACTACCTTTCGATTGTTCCCAATAACCTAGGCATGGTTCTTTCTTTCATTCTCTATACTGATTGAAAACCTGTGACAAAATCACTTCTACCCAATTTGGGAGCAATCTTATGCTCAGCCTTTCGTACCGTTTCCAGAACAAAGAAAAATTAGTACGCTAACAGGTAACATTGGCGACTTAGCTACTCCTACAAACGCCTGTTTTTGTGCCTGCTCTAGTCTTATCGTCTTCCCAGAAGTTCCACCCCCTCTGCACAAATCACACCTTTGCGAAGATCACATCTCTTTGACACTTCTGTGTGCTGTTGGGCGGGCCTTCGACAAAATCCGGCCCACCATCATGGCGTTGCTGAAGAAACTTCTGTCGCGTGGCGTAATAGTTTTTGCTCATTCATTAAGGGTGGCGGTCGTAGTAAAGAGTAATTCAAATGATTTAAGAAAAATTCCATGATTGATCTTGTATAGAGGAAAGGAATAGCAAAGAAAGCAAACCTTGGCCTCCATCGTCACCCTCCCTCCAACTTTCTCGGCTCCCTTTTGCCCAACTACCCCGAGCCCCCTGCATTCACTTCCCGGTCTACAACTTATGGATGCCGAATGT